TTGTTGATGGTGTATAGAAGGACAGCCATCAGGATGCATGTGTGGATATATTTTTAATATCCTTTCATATGTTCATTTAAAAAAAAAAAAGATAAATCTCCCTTTAATTTTGTCCACAGTCTTCCCTATCTAATTGTCTGGTTATTGTTTCTGGCAGTAGATTATTGTAATGCATAGGTACATCTTAGAAGAGCCCCATGCATAGCTCAACCCATGTTTTCTGGTCCATATCAAGGTCCCCTGCTACACAGGCAATGGCACTGCCTGGTACAGTTTGCAGCGTAGCATCAGAAGAAAGAACGTGTGTGAGATTACTGGCCTCTGTCATAACGCAAAGCACCTAAAAAGCCTGAGACACAGGGAAACAAGTTTCCTTACATGTTGTCTTCTCCAGAAAGAGTTCATGTTTCAGCTTCCCTGGGGTTAAGTCACCAATGGCCATTAAAAGTACAGCTCATGCCTACAGAACCATGGCCTGAAAACACTTTATAAAATACGGTACATAACATCATATCTTTTATAGCTAAGGGAGTAAAGTATGGGAAAATAAACCAAACTTCCCTACACCAGGCACTAAGACAGAGCAGAACTGAAATGAAAGCTCAGGATGGGTATGTGACGTGGCCGTTACGATGTGCACCGTCTCTAAAGTGTTACCGAATGTGCCACCCATGGGGAGCTCCTTCCCCCCTGGCCAGGGCAGCCACGAACAGCAAGAGCTCTCTTAGTGCATACAGGCAAAAACACATGTGCATCTCCCAGAGCCCTGCATCTTCCCGCAGAGATTTTGAGCAATAGAAAGCAGCAGTAAACATCTCACTAAAAATAAACAGACCTCAGCATAAAGGCTCAGTAAACTCTGAGAAGAAAGTGCCCTCTCGAACAGCAGATACACCAGCAGAATTGCTGGGCTGCGTGTGCAAGGGGGGAAGGAAGGGCTAACGGCATTACAGCTATGAGGCTCTACTATTCACGGCAACTATTTTTGTCCAGTTGAAATGTGGCACATTATAAACCACCCATGAATGCTCAGCCGGTTGGAGCATTTGGCTGCTTAAATATTCTAACTGCTCTGGAGGAGACAGATGGTGGCAGCTCAGGGCCAGGAAGCAGCCCCTGGTCAAGCTCATTTACATCAATGACATTTTCCTACACTTCAAGAAATAAACAGTCCTGAAAACTCACAGGTGCTTAGGACTGTGCTAATAACTGCATCATGCGATGACAATTCCCGTGTTTATTGAGGTTTAAGGTTTCAGGAGAACAGTGAGCTGTCCTGGAGCAAGCTGCATGTTCACCACCCTGACACACCGCTGCCTTCCAGCCCCATTCTGTCCATCCTCCATCCCACAAGTTTCGTGCATTTGGAGCAGTTATCCCCCCGAGCAGCCAGGACAGCAAGCATGGCTATCCACGGTCTCTGCTCAAGGGCAGGAGCATCATGCTCTACCAACAGTGTCCAACCTGATGCTTTACGGTGTTTTGGGCTGGGTTGGAGCTCCTCTTCAGCAGGCTCCTGCACGATGCTTCCTACACAGCACGTGTCAGTGGCAGACAAAGTCAGCAGCAGCAGTATGGTAACTCAGGTGTACTCAAAACTCTGAATTCAGACCTAGATTATGACCCTGTCCTCAATGGACACCAGTTAACTCACACAAGGAAACACCTCTGCACTACCTACCCAGGCTTCAGGGTCAGCTATCAATGTAAGTGATGGCAGAGAAACCAATAATGTGTTGCTTCTTGGGGAATTTTGCCATTCTTTTTTGTGGTCCCCAGTGTTGAATTACTGTGATGAAAACCAGCTCTAGCACTGCAAAAACAACACAGTCACAAATATCCTTAAATAGACAGCAAGCACAGAATCTTCTCTGTTTGCAAATTGCGTTATTTCCATACTTGCACCATAATCCTAGTGTGTGGTGCAATGTTTAGTCTTTACGCTATGCTGTTTCAAGCAGTGGTTATAAATAAAATAGATACCATCACCCACACACAATAAATCTGGATTTTTCTGTCCATCTCTGTTTGCATCATTTATAATATAGCAGGTGCCTGCTGACATTTGGCCTTTTGAGGATTTTGGTGAGGGATAGCACTATTTATCAATTTAATGAGGGTGGAAAGGTTTCTTTGTTTTTTTGAGGGGGTTTTGTGGGGCTTTTTTTCTTTTTTTTGAACATGGGCTTTATTCAAAGTTTGCGTTACCAAAGTACAGCTTGCAATACAGAAATTTCATAAACACTAACCATGAGCAAGGTCTTAAAGGGAAAAGACCCCCAAACATACCACTTTCACAGTAAGACAAGGGGATCTTCATAACTTTGTGTATTCCATGGCAGGAGGACCAGTCAAGAGCACAACCCACATCCACAGCTTTCCACTAAGTAAACTCCATCTTCGGTATTACTAGACATGCCTTTTTTGTTTACACCTGTGAAAATTAAAAGGGGATGCAAACCTTTCACAGACAGCTTTGAGATACCTATTGATCACTCATCCCTTTTCGTCCCCTAAGGGGGCAGGGACAAAAGAAGGACAACTGTTCTTTCAGTGGTGTTCACAAGCTATAATCTACACCCCACATTCAGGGCATTGCTAAGCAGATCTGGCCAGGGCCTAGCTTCTCCCATTGCAGATCAGAAGCAAGCCAAGCTTTTATTTTACATGTGGTAAGACTCCCACAAGGGAACGAGGGACCCCAGAATAGTCAGTTACCACAAAATCTAGCTACTCATCTGAAATCATGGAGCATTCAAGTCCCTACCCAGATCAGGCATTTGAATTCACACCTCCAGACGCTGCTCTGTGCATTGTCCCATCAGCTGAAGCACTGCTGATCCAAGATGGTCTTTCCTGCCAATGCCATTCTGCTTTGAGTAATTAAATCTACACTGAAGCAAGGACTTGAATCTTATACCAGGGTCACAACAACTGGTTAGGTGACTTCCCCCTGTTTTTGTCCCAGTAGCTGCTTCTTTGGAGAACAGCATCACCATCAGATGCAACTGAGAGAAGCTGACTGTAGAAAAGCCAGTTGTATGCTGATCAGGGCAGGGATAGGCTTTGCCTAACGAAAGACTTGAAAACCAGTCATCTATGCTCCAGCTGAGTTTGGCAAATATCAGAGTACTCACTGTCTGAGGAGCAGGATTTAAATTCTTCATTAGGCTAAAGGACTGACAGATGCATTGCCCACTTCTGCAGTGCTGGTCTTTCTCCTCGGAGACTGAAGGAAGTCATCTTCCATTATTAAAGTATTCCAAAACACTCCTCTAAAACATAGAGGATGTTTTAAGCCATATTCTCTATTGCAGAAGCAGCAGTGTAACAGAGTCTTCTTATTCCATAGGAGAACGAAGATGTACAGAGATTATCAAAAATCAATGGTTTGTAAAAAATTCTCATACCAGAGCCAACATTCAGCCAAAACTTGGCTTCATTTGTCACTAAGGACCAAGTAATATAGAGTATCATGAGTTGGAAGGGACCGACAAGGATCAAGTCCAACTCCTGACTCCACACAGGGCAACCTAAAAGTTAAACCATATATCTAGGAGCATATGTAGGCCATTAAGCTATGTAGCTTCTCCCTTAGCATCAATCCGGGGCAGTGAGGGGAGGCTCCCCTGGAAAAGATAATAATTTCTGAGGCATGTAAGAATGAAGATCAAACAGTTGTTGCACAGGTTTAACACTACACCTTACACATTCTTTTATTTGGGGGCTTACTGAAAAATAACATGACAAACTATAGATACGCTGCAAAAAATTACTCCTGGCTATGATTCATACAATTGCTCAGCTCCTTCCTTGACCCTACATTCCAATCAGTGCTTATACTCCTACCTTTTGGCAAGCAATCAAATTACAGCAGCCTAAATAGTTCAGGAGAAATTAACCATGTGTTCAGCTCACCAAAGCTCCAGTAAAGATATTTAAATTTCTTACTTCATCCATGAGAAGAAAATTGAAACTGATTTTACACTAATCGTCTCTGACATGTTCCTATTTCTTCCAAGAGCGCTTGTTCAGGATCTGACTTCAGGGCAAATACACTGATGCAAAAATCCACACTTTCAAAATTAACTGCACTTTTCTTTTTTTGAACCACCTTTTTAATGAGGGTAAAAGTGATTCAGCTTGAACATATACATTGACACGCTGCTAAACAAGTTTTAAATGGTCAATAAAGAAAGGAGTTAAATTTTGTTTTAAATGTTATTTCCTTTAAAATACAGATGAACAAGGGAGGTGAATACTACACAGTCAATATCTGAAATGTAAATTCTATCATTCTCCTAAAACTGTATACAGGCTTTCACTGAACTCACATGATGATGCTCAGTCCACTTCTGAAGAGGAAATTAAGCTACAGAGAAGAGCAATTATAATGATTCCAGAAGGCAATTTTCTGTCACTAAGTACTGGTGTCACTCAGTATGTCCCAATTCTCCCATGTCTGAATTAAAAGTACAATGGCAAGTATAAACCCAAAACTGAGAATTTACCATGTTTTAGACATTACTGGATTGTAGCTTATGTGAATTACTTTACCTATTAGCTCAATGCTAGCATTTTTCCTTTTAAAAGGTCTGAGAGCACTGCAAAAAGTTTATTATGTAATTTAAAAAAAAAAAAAAATCACCCAAAACTTTACATACTGAAAACCAAAGGCAAACCTGAAACCTTCAGTGAGTCAGTGATGCTCTGACAAATTGATTTCTAGAACAAATACGGAACCAAGCAATTTTGCTTTGCTCAGGATCACTCAGGGTATCTACAGCAGGTGCAGGAAATAGTAAGATTATCTTAGTATCAATCCAAAACTTCAGCCAAAAACCCATTATTCCTGTTCCCTGGCATTATTGCTTCGGAAAAGGGAAGACTGGCAGAGGGACAAAAGGGAAGTGATATGAAAGGAACAGTACTAATTTCTATTGTACATGACATTTTGCATTGTTGAGAAAATAAAGCCTCATAAAGATATTATATTAGTGTACGGTATTTATTACTTTCTATTAATGTGAAGTCAATAGTTTTGATATGACTAAATTAACTCTGAAATAAACAGACATTTTTAAATACATATAAAGATGAGAGGCTTTAACATGAGCATATTTAGTTGATCTGCACTCTTAATCCACATGCAAGATACATTGATCAAATATTGTTCACTTCCTTTCATTTTACACTGGTCCATGATAAAGCGCAATTTCTGAGGGTGAACGCAGGGAGGAAAGAAATCATATTTTCAAGTAGCCCTTTTATTAAAAAAGAGCATCAACTATATATTAAGCCAATGTGTTTCTCTCTGATTTTGATTTTACTTACAGTATACAGTTTTGCAAAATATACAGCTCACCAATGATACACAAACAGTGGCCCTTTACTAAGGGCAAGTAACAAAAAAACAACCAAACAAAAAAAACCCAAAGAAACACAACAGAAAAGAATTCTACAGATTAGAAAATTCATATTTTAGAACATTATGCCACTTCAGAGTGTCTCCAATGCTGGTAAGAAAGGTCATGCACAATGTTTTTTTAAGAGAATGTTGTCATTAGTCCATGAGAGATTTGTCTGCATGCTTCACATGAACAGAAAAAGGTACAAGTCACGAGGAAAGTAGCTTTCTCCAGTTATCTTTTAGGCCTGTCTATGTCATCAATAGCAGCTAGCAGCTTCTGTCTTGCCTTTTTGTTGATGTGGGATCCCAGACAAACATTCACCAGATTGGTCAACTGCTTAGTGGAATATTCCTGGCAAATAAAAGCAGATCATGTTATGGCAGAATAAAACACCAGACAAAGATAGAAAATTAAAAAACACAGACATACACATTGTGGACTTTTTAACCGATAGAAGCAGTCAGTACACAAGGGAGATTTAAAGTGGTAGTTAAGTCAGGTCTGGATAGTTTTCACCGTTGAGGCAGAAGACAAAACAGTATTTTGCTACATGGCAGATTATAATGGAAAATGCTTATGACTTTAGTAGTGTTGGACTGAGTTCACAGAAAGTAAATCTGTGAATATATTACGTATCTAAATCAATTTTTAATGTATTTTCCATTCTTTGGGAGTTTGGTGGGAAATATATATGCAAATGGGATAAGGTTTTAACACAAAAACATTTTTATAAACACACTGTAACAAAAGTTGATCTTTCTTATTTTGACTTCTCATTTCCAATAAGCTTCTAAATACTTCTGTCTACAGGGTCTCCAAACAATGTTAATTTCAGTACATGATAAAGGAGGAAAAAATGGCAAAAATGTTACAACAAGAATTCTTAACATCTGTCAAAACACCACATTTGCCAGTACTACCTTTATACTTAACCCTATCCAAAATGTAGCTTCCACCAGCAGGTTTAAACGAATTTTTCCATGTAGATCACCAAGCAACAGATCACAATCTCTCTTGTGGCTCGAGATATAACAATGAAAACGACAGTAAAGACGTATTTATTTCATCCATTTATAGTGGGATTTAAAGGAATCCCAAAATACAGATTTCAAAATGCTCCATTTTAAAATACTTTTCACTTTAACAATGGGCAGCTCCCAATGCATGTGACTATTACTTAGACAGTCCTGTTAAAATTGTTAGGTTATGCTACCACAAAAGCACGCTAAATGCTTTCAAAACACAAATGAAGACTTATCTCAGACAGCAATGTTGATCCTGATTCAGGATTATAAAATAAAGGAAGAAAAAGCAATGACTCTTACCCTTTGTGCCTAACAACTCAGTTTAAACAATCTACTCCTAAAGGCAAAGCAAAACCTCATGATGTGATTTCAAACTGTAGTTCTTGATGATCAAATTGTGCACTTTGGCATATTCTGAACAGCACACAAATATTTTCAACTTCACTTCGCTCTAGTTCTCTACGTTTTTTGGTACAGTAGGTATATGTGACATCCTTCCCAGTCATCAGATGTTGAATCAGTACAAACACATACTAACTTCATATGATAACAAATATAATGAACCTATACATGCACGCACACACACACACTTATACTTATACTGCTTCCCATACAGATTTTATTATAATAAATGAATATATCCATATATATGCATATAATAATTTTTCACACATAGAAGCATTGATCATTTAGAGTTGTTAGCATGATTCTATCATCATGGTGAATTTTCCCAATAGACAGTAAAAGAATGAAAATTTAACTCTTACCCTGTGTTCTTTTATCCAGCGTTCCATGTCATTTTCTGTTAGGTAGTATGCTTTAATGTAGGTCTCCACAAACTCTTTATCTGGAATAGGCCTAATGTCTGTTAACTTTTCCAGTTTCATTAAGAATTGTTGAAAGTCCAGTTGCATCAAGGCACGTCCTTCATTGCTGCACTTCTTTACATTGGCATAACTGAGAAGAGAAACACAGTGGAAAGTAAAAATTAGAAGGAAATAAAAATAAATGGTAGTTCTCAGAGTTGGTTAACTTCATCCTTCGAACCCTGAGGAAGAACACAATTATAGTTTTAAGTTAAAAGCAGACAAGAACTCCTCTTGGGATGTCTGATGCAGATTTTATTTGCATTAGTATATGTTTTAGCCCCACTCAGAACAGAAACCCATTGTACCCAGCGTTACTTAAAACACAACCCCTCCTCCCAAAAGCCACTAAAAATCCTATATTGAACAACTTACTAGAAGTGGGTTAAAGGAAATGAAATCAATGTTGATCAGCACACTAAACAGTGGCTTTAGTCAAGTGATCATGACCACTGAAGTCTGAAAGGTAACGCGGCAGCTTTAGGAATGGTCACCAGGAGCTTGCTGAACCAACAGAGGCAGCATCAGGGAAAGGCACAAAGCTGTTTGTTCAAAAACACCCACAATAACCGGAGGATAAAGGATGGTAGCACTGACTAATCTCTGTGAGAGGTTAAAGTTTTAATGAGAGTAGAATGACAGAAAACTGGTGATAGGTTTGAGCTCAAAGAAGAAAAGACAGTAGATGAGCTTATGGCAGGGTAATACCAGGAAGGATTTACAGTGCAGTGATAGACAACAAATGAGGAAAACTATCTTTGCAGTTTTTCAAATGGATAAGAAATTGCATTTGTCAAGATCAAAGGAAATGACATCGCAATGCCCTTAACAGTGCCAATTTCAGCTGTGTACAGGGAATAAAAAAAGCTTTGGTCTGGGGCACAGTGACTTGATAAGACTTAATCCAGCCCACCCACAGGCTGCTGCCACAAGTGACAATCCTGTCCCACTGTTTCCACTCTTCCTTTGTACCAAATTTAAAGCAACCTCAGTCTTCCATTGGTTCATGAAGTTGATCCTAATTATTATACAGTCCCTAAATCATTAGGTCTGATGCAAAGGAAGCAGAAACATGCAGCTGCAAACTGGATACTCAGCAAGATCAGGTTAAGAATAAGAAGAAATTGCACCCTTACAGTTAGTATGCAGAAAGAATTTGCAGAATGCAGAAATAACAGAGGCAAAAAGAGAATTGGACCAAAGCACAAGCCCTCTGGAGCTCTGAAGAAGACTGGATGATGACTCTCAATAGGACATACTGAAGCACTTCAAGAAGCCAGATGGGAAACAGGAGAGAACATAGAACTAGGACATAGGGCAGGGCAAAATTTAAAGAAGGATTATGGCTGACTGTACTGGACAGGATTCTTCACTCATTGAAGAGCCTGATGAGAGCAATTTCAGTTGACTGGCTGAACAGAGGAGAAACGCCTCCTTCATGGCTTTTAATTCCATACCTTCATGGAATTCAGAGATGAAAGAAGTTATGAAGGTATTCAGTCAGCTGTTCAGAATACCTTCCTTCCCTTTCCCCACTGGCAAAAGAAACTACAAAATATGCAAGGAAAAAGAGAACTGGGCAAAAAAGAGAAATTACAGGCAGGTATTTGGGAGGAGATAATAATGAGTGCTCTTTACACTCTAAGAAAGGGCACAGGACAAATCATATCAGCAAGGTATTCCCAGTCCACTTTGACCAGTCAGTCAAATGCTTAGGTGAAAGTAAAGGTGAAAGTTTCATGGTAAGTCACAAGTGTGAACCAAAACTGCAGCATGGAACAAGACATATAAGTGATGATCTTCACAGCTAAGAATTAAGTGGTTTGTGAACACAGAAGTCACAAAAGATGAGTAAGATTGTGTAGTAAAGGAAAGAAACAAGCCCGAAACAGGCACAAGGGCTGAGGCAGAGGACTTTGGTAGCGACTGTTGGTGTTATCTACTTGAAAGGGATGGGGGGAGAAGACAACAGATGCTTTTGTTCCACTTCTTTTCATTTAAGGCATGATAAGTGGAAGATAGAATTTCAAAAAGGAGAGAGAGTTGTAAAGGTCACATGTCATATGAAGGAACCGAGAAGCCAGAGGGAGGTCATGGCTGTATTTAGTCTCCCTGAAGATGAAATTGATCTCTTAAGAGACTGCAAAAGGATGACATGAAAAGAAACAGGCATGAGTTTAAAAATGATGGCTTGATGGAAGCAGTGGAAGCTGATGATCCTTAATAGACAGCTAACACTTGGAAAAGAAAGATGTTGTTGAGGTCCTAAATTAGAGCAGACAGCAGGAGAGTGGGATGGAAAGCAGTAAAATAGGTAGTAGGGAGTGCATAGGGTAAAGATAACCAGGAAAGAAATATAGAAACATATGTAGAAAGAGTGGAAGACAGCACATATTCTATGATGCAGAAGAAGGTGTGATGAGAACCCAGACATATGGAGCAAGGGGACAAGAACACAAAAATAAATGCAATGGGTGAAAAGACTACAATACTCAGGCTACATTATTGAAAAGACTGGGACACTCATTAAGAGGGAGGGATGAGCAAGGTGTAGCAGTTCCTGACTAAGGTGCTTGAGCCTCTATTTACCAAACCAACTAAGACACCTCTCTGTTCCTGATGAATTTGGAAAAATCCTGCTCCATGGCCACTATAAGATAACTGCTAGGGTTGACAGCTCTATCCTTCTTCCTGGCAAAGACAAGTGGCATCACCATAGAGATGCTGACCATTATACTTTGTTCTGTCAGGAAATGATAATTTTCAGGTAGAAGTTTCTTTGAAAGAGAACTATGTTGTTTCAAATGCTTCAATAAAACACTCAGACAATTGTCATTCTTCAGTAGCATCTAGGTACAAGACCATCCCCTTTAGGTTTAATGCTGTACCATATTCTGTGAAACAACTGCTAAGGACTATGTTAAGCCTTAATATTATTAGGCTCCCCAAAAGCACAAGGGCTTACCAGTGCACTATGAAATTAGAACTTTTAATTCCATTAAACAGACATTATCATTATAGACGTATTTACCCAAAAGCAAGACCTTCATAAACTACTTACCCTTCCGCGAGAGTTCTATTGGCCAAGCGTATGCAGTGCTCCCAAAGGATGTTGGAGACTGGCAGTGGAATACGGACTCTCTTAGACACCTCGTTCAACCTTCTGTTAAATTCTTCAAATTCCTGATGAAACATGAAAGATCATTATTCCTTTAGCATAAAAGGGATCGTACTCTACACATCCCTAGCAACAACAACAAAGAATTAGAAATGCACATGAAAGAATACTGAAAAATAAGAGCAAAGCAGAGAAGCTTAAAAGGCACAGACTGTAGAGACAAGCTTAATGTGTAAAGTAGAAAGCATACCACTTTCTAGTATATAGTTCACAACATTACCTCAGTAATTTTTTCTAAAAAAGGAAATACTGCTCTGTTCCGCAGAGGTGTAGTTCTCTGTGAAACTGACACCTCTGAAAATTAACTAAGCAGCTAATCCTTCAAATGCCGTTTTCATTGCCTCACTCCCTAAACTCATCTTTAACTTTTTTTAAAGTCAATATACAGCCACTGCAGAAAATCCAGTGACAATCTCATTATCGCTCTAAATACCCACCCACCAGCTTTCAAAGAGAAGCTCAGAAATATTGTGACCACATTTCATTCTTCAAGCTTTCACATTAGAAAGTTCCCTGGTGCTTTAAAAGGAGCTGAGAGCACCCACTCTGGGAGTCCAAATCTAACAGTTTAGGAGCATACTGCAACACTAGGTAACAATTCAGGTTGAGGGAAGGCACCTGTTTCCACCTGAAACACCAACAGCCTGGATGGATTTGAGCTGTTACTCCGAGTGACAAACTAGTCATAACTGAACGTACTTACTGCTACAATGATTTTATGACTTACATAAAGTGAAATAGAAGTCTGCTGCCAGTGACTAACACCTCTATCATTTAAAAAAAAAAAACCTATCAAATTACTTAAATATAAAGCAGACTGATAATGAACCGTACTGTGTAACCAGCAAAAGCAGCCTATTAAGACCATACTTGTCCAACAAAGTGTTTTCATTCCAAGACTGACAATCTAGGTGTTTTTTTTCCTCTTTCCTTTCCTTCTTTTTTTTTCCCTTCCCCTCCCCCCCATCAAAAATTAGGAAGTGAAGAAAAACAGAAGGGAATCTCAGTAACCAATTTAACCTCGTATCTGCGCAAATAATTGGTGTTTAACACAAATTTTCTGAAAGAGGAATTTGGCAAGAGGAAGCAGGGTACCACAATGTTATGCCACAATGGCATGCAACTCAGTCTTCTGAAGATGCCTAATACTCCATATTAATGAATTTCTTGAACAATCCTCTTTCCCCAATTTATCTGCTTCCACACATACTATGACTGAGTATAGAAGTTCACATATGTGAGCGCATGGCTAAAAGCAGTTGGTTATTACATTAAACATTGTGCTTACATCTGACACTCCTGAGTCTCAGACTACACAGCAAATCACTAATTGCTTAGCAGTAATCTAAAAGCTCCTGTAGCAACTGTTAGTAGCTATATAACGTAGAGGCCAGAAATGGTTTTAAATGGTATTCGCCCTGATTGTCCTGAAGCAAATTCATCAGCAGCTGCACACTAAGAAAAGGAAAAAGTTCTACTGGCGAGACCAAATTTTGTAAGTACAAACTGATTTCAAAAACCATGGCAGCATAAAGAAGGGTAATCACAAAGATTCAATCAAACTCAGTGCAATGATATATCCTCTATCAGATTCTCCCTTCATGTTGATTTTTTTTAAAGCAGAGAACAGCTACAAAGTACAAAAGTTTAATCAAAACTGTTATTCAACACAGACGCATAACTTTTTCTGTGATGCATAATTCACATATCTTTAAAATAAAAATTTCAGTTTCTCTGTAAGAATTAGTATAATTCTACCACTGCCAGAACTTCCTTCTAAAGACCTTTAGAAACATCATTTAGGCGTATATAAAAGGATGAGAGAGGGATTCTCCCAAGAACTGGTTCTGTATGCCATAAGACAGAGCAACTGTACAACCACTTCTACTGAATGCAATTGAGAAGTTGGGTAAATAACTTCCCTTTTACCTTCCTTTTTGAATGCTAACTTCTAAATATAGCAACTTCCATTAGACAGTGGTTTTTTAACAAAGGCTATTTGCTATTCTGTGTGGTTTTAGTGGTTGTCTTTGAGAAATACTGTAGGGGCTATAGGTCAAACCAGCACCAATAATGATCATGCACTATCTCAGGCTGCTGGATTTTCCTCAGTGTTTCCCAATGTTCCTCCATTTACTACACATTTCTCTACCATTGAAGACTTAGACATGAAACTAGTTAAACTTTTGTGGCCACTCTCACCTACCACATAGTCAAAAAATCATCACTGAAAACAATCTGCTAGCAGCAAGAATAATGAAAATTCTGGACAGACCTCCTCATAACAACTTACCATTTGTCAAGATGCTGTATTGCTCTAACCATGTTACTTTAACAGCTTTAGTTAAGTATTACAGTAATTTAATGTTTACATTTAGCACACCATTTCCCAGAAAGTATTCACCTTTAAAAGAGCATCTACATATATATTGTGTTGTGACATGATTTCCTTCACATCCCATTTTACATTAGCCATGAGAAGCAGCATTTGTTCATAGTCAATGGCTTTAGCAGCAACAATCCAATAAACTGGTTTACGTAGTTCACTGGCAGTTGACACTGTCTGAAACAGAATATAAGTAAAATTCAATTCAGTAAATTTCTTCCTAATAAGAGCAATATATAACTATGACATAACAAGTACTTCCACCATATTGTACAAGTTTCAAATCTTTTGTTTAAAAATCAGCTGTGAATTATGCAATTCTGACCTGAGAGTAGAACTGCTGAAGAAAAGGCTTCTTGGCAGCTGGCATCACAGCATCAAGATGAGGCTGAAGAAACTCAAATTGCTCAGCCAGAAATACCCTTTGAAAGCAAAGAAAATTTACTGTGAACTAAATGCAACATTTGGCATGTCTCTGTACAACTTTTACTCTACAGTTGACATATTTGGCAATAATGGTACGTAACCTTGGAAAATTTAGTCCTGAGAAAAACCATATCACTTTCATACCAGCATATTAACAAGTATTCTCAATTCTGACAATTTTAAAATATGACTGCAAACAAGAAAATGCTTGAATAAAGAGACTAAGGCCTGAGTATCAACAATTCATATTTCTATTTTACTCAGGATATACTGCAAAAGTCTGATCCAAAGTCTAGTAAAGTCAGTGGACGTAATTTCCATATGCAAATCAAATCAGATCAAATTCTTTCTCAGGGGTAGGATTTGTTAATAACAACATAATAAGAAATACATTTCTAACTAAACATAAATGAATGCAAAAGAAAATAATGTTCCTTTGAAAATACATTTTTAAAATTAATTTAAAAATGATCTTCTAGTCTTTAAATATCATGGTGTGGGGGAGAAAAAACAATTCCCATCTGACTCTTACTATTATTCTGACCAAATAAAAACTACTTTGGAAGTTTTGTGTTCCTTGCTCATTATAATCTCTTCTTCACACTACCACCCATTGCAAAGAACACTGCAATCCAAGCCAAACCAATATGAACTAAGCAGTTTTGAGTCTCAGCCATCACCATTTGAGTACTTACTATAACGTTTAAATGAACCATAGAGATTAAATACTCCCATTAGTCTCTTTAAAATTAAACTTTTTTCCTGTTAGATTTGGCCTTGTATTGTCACAGATTACTGGACCAGCTGCAGTAAAATTTCATTGCTTGTGCTTGCAGGTGGTTAGACCAGATGGTTAGACCCCACTACCTTTAATTAAGAAACTACCTCTATCACTCATATTTAAAATCACATTGAGAAGCAGGAATTTTTGACCTCTCAAGAAGGCTTTGGCTTGTAATCACAATCTCTTAAACAATCCATAGCTTCCAGTGACCACAAAACGCAGTGTACCGTAAATAACCTACAATGATTCCGTGGCCACCACTCTCTCTGCCAAACCATACAGTGAATTGCCAGATGTCAAAACTACGAGATGACTGAGATGTGGGCTTGGCACCTTCTCCTTCCTCTCTTCAGCAGCTGTGAGAGTTCCTGTGGGATCAGCAGAGACCTCCTAAAACAAAGAATTAAAGAACTGAAAAACCACTAAAAGAGCAAGAATGGCTCCAGCTGAGCAGTTTCAGATGACATATAAGATGAAGGAATGTTTCTAATTCTAAGGTGCAATATAAATCAAGTCTGAATCAAAAGACGACCACAGAGTTTTCTATTTGAACAGTGTGGTGTTCAAACAGGTGAAAAAAAAAAAATCACATCATGTAGATCAATATCTCTCTCGGAGAAAAAAAACAAAGGCAGAGAACAAACTTCTTGCTACACCTTAGGGCCCATACAGGCTTTAGCCCAGCTGCCTACTGGGAGACTGACTTCTCACCCATGGAGATAGTATCTTCAATCTGCCAGCAACCAAATAAGCAGACAAATCAAAGTAATATTACTTATGCATGGGCTTTACTGCTTATGTGAGCTGCAGCTAACTTAAGTAAAATACAAATGATGTTTTTAAACAAGTTATCATTCCATGAAAACACCTATCTTGAAGACATCTTGATTGCAGAAAGCAAGGAAATATTCACAGCACAGGAAAAGAATCTGTAATAAGAAACAGGTTACACCAGTGCCCTGTTGCAAAATGAGGGGGGGGCACCCAGAAAAAAACCCTGAAAAAACAGAAAAAAAACACCAGAAAAAGAGACAACAAAAGAAAAAAGGAAAAAAAGAAAGGAAGGGAAAAGGAAAAAAAGGAAGGAAGGGAAAAGGAAAAAAAGGAAGGAAGGGAAAAGGAAAAAAAGGAAGGAAGGGAAAAGGAAAAAAAGGAAGGAAGGGAAAAGGAAAAAAAGGAAGGAAGGGAAAAGGAAAAAAAGGAAGGAAGGGAAAAGGAAAAAAAGGAAGGAAGGGAAAAGGAAAAAAAGGAAGGAAGGGAAAAGGAAAAAAGAGGGAGAACTCCCACCTCTACATTCAAGGAACGTAAGTACAAGTTACAACTAAAAGAGGAATCACAGAAGCAACACATTTCCAGAGCTATCATATTAATCTAAGTAGGTATATAAATGGATATCCTCTGAAGCTCAGCTATTTGCCAAAACCATTATCAGGACATGAAAACATAAAACGTAGTTCTGGCTTTAGATTAATTACTCATACCTTGCTTACTGCTTACACACAAGCTATAAAGATATGAGAAATGCTACAAAGCAAAGGTGATAGAGAACCCAGGATAGGTAAAGAAGGTAGGCATGATATGGCACTGATTTCTCAAGTAAGAGCCTTCCATGACCCTGGGATAGAAACTCTGTGGCTAGACAGGTGCTACAACAAATCAGCCTGTTTGTATGGAATGAAAATAATTTTGAGCAATAATACAGTGACAAAGTAGTGGTAAAAACAATTTCTTCAAAAGCAAGATCAGGTGCACAACATGTCTGCTGTAAAGCAAAGCATGAACACACAACCAATATGACAACAATAATGCTTAAACATGGCATTTATGGTTGATCTCAAAAAACAAATCACCATAATTTTCAGATTGCTGTAAAACTGGACAACGATGAAGCCAAAAACATGATAATAAATAAAGAAGCTTTGCAGTTTTGTTTTGGTTTGGGATTTTTCCCTCCCAATTGGAGACAGAAATAAATTGAGAGGAAATTGCAGTGAACTAAAGCATCAGGAGCAGGAGGAAGAAAAATAGACTCAAGCTGACCACAACAGTCACCAGGAGTTTCTTCTAGGCTTCACAGCAGGGAACAACTGTGAGGAGTGACACGAAATAGAATAATTGGTATGTACGTGTTTTTCAGACAGTTTTGCCTAAGAAGAAAAGGAGAGCAGTGAGCACTAGAAACACTGATGGAACTAAGTGGTGGTCTAACTCATTCTAAATATCAGGATTGAGACAAGAAGGCTATGCATTGTAGATCTTGAAAAGCCAAGAGAAAAGGTGCTGTACAGATGACCAGGTGAAAAAGGGAAAAACAACAGGGAAGCTATTCTCATAGCAAAATATCTGACAGACCCATTGTGGTTGTATTGCAACAATTAAAGGCAGGATAGGTGAAAATCAATTATGTCAAAGTGTACAAGGACTTGGTGATAATTTAAGTGACACAGAATGAACAGAAAGATCAAAACTTTGTTGCTACAGACAAAGCAGCACCAGAATCTGTTTACTGCCTGGATGAAAGCCAAGCCAAAAGTGACATTAAGAATATAAGACATCTGGGAAGATAATAATGTCCAAGCTGTTAAAAATGGTTTGAGGTGTGGAAGGACAAAATGATCACAAGTTCCACTTTAACCATCTTGGATTTTAGTTGACAGTTGCCTCCTGTCATGTGACAGCCCAAGGCAACAGGGTGCTGGATTTGCTAACTCAGAAAGGCTCTTTCAGTTCTGTGTCTCCCAAAGATGTCAAATACAAACATAAATATGGGCTACAGCAGATGGAACAAAGTGCAGACTGTGAAAGTGGAGTTCTCACTATCAAGGGTGACGAAAGTATCTTCAGACTTCTAAAAACCATTTTGTAATAGGTTACAGAACAGAAAATGGATAAAGCAGGGAGCCTTGAAGGATCCCCACAGAAATTCGGACATTAAAATCAAAGACTGCTGACTGAGCAATACCATCAACATATCATTTGTAGTGCTATAAAAGATATCACAGAAATCGATCAATGAGCAGAAGATAAAACTTCTAAAAGAAGCTTATGGTAAATGCTATCAGATATAGTTGCACAGAGCATGGGAACAATTACAAAGGCTAGCCACATCACTATGTTATTTGAAAAATTAATTTTCTTTGCTCAGATCTGTGTTCACATTCAGCCAGATAAATTTGCAACTAAATTGGCCATACATTTCACAATACCGTGAAGTTTGCATTCTGCTGAGCCTATCAGAATGGATAAGCAAGCCAAAAGGCCTGGATATTTACTAGAACTCATGTAATGTCTTTCAGGCAGCTCTGAAGATACCTGCCTAGCACATCCGCAAGTATAGCGCACACAGGCAATCACATCTAATCATCTAGGTGTAATAGTCAGTTGTTTAAAAATATTAGCTGAGCCAAAGACACCACTGATTAATTATCAAAATCCATTCTTTATCTGCCTTCTCTTTTTCTTTTTCACTTGATGTCATTCTCAAAAAAAAAAAAAAAAAAACCCAACAAACCAACAAAAAAGAGACGCTTTGAAATGTTTACACGTGGTAAAAAACCCAAACTCACAGCCCACCAACCAATTCTCTATTCTTAGGAGAGGCAGTGCGCCACAGAGCCAGGGGAAGAGTATCAGTAGTAAAGATTTAAGCATCTTTGTTTCTTTCAATGACTAATTACAAATTATGTAAAACACCAAATATTATAGAGACTTGATTTTGTATTTATCATACCTCAAAGCTGCCTGTCTCTTCAGTATTGAGATACATTTTAAACAACTTCTTTTCTACCTGTCTGCTTCCCATGAAGGTAAATACCTTGCGAAAATTTTAAATGCGAAAAATCGCGTTGCACCTGAAGACACAAAATGTACATGAGACAACTAGCTAAATCAAAGACATGCTTGGGTTAAAGCAGGGAGTCAAAAGTCTGGTTCAAATATACTGGCCAAACACAGTATGAGTGTTTCATTCTCCTGACTTGTTCTAAAAAGCAGGCATTGCAAAAGCATTTTGATAGCAAAAAGGAAGCCCAAGGAAACAGCCGGTGTGTCAATCCCCAAGAAAAGCACGATATCATTTTGAAAGTGTTTCAGTGATGCATGTTTTTTTATCCAGCCTTCATTAACAGAAATGATCAAATGACTGAAAGCATCAATAAAGGGGCAAAACATTCAGGCTGGAACAGGAAAAAAGGCTACAGACTATTTAAAGAAATCAGATGTTTTGCAATGGACTGGACTTGCTAAAGTTAACCTTTCCAGTAATTTAAGAAAATCTGCAGTACAAGTCAGAGATTCCCTTTGAGCACACATGGAGAACAGGTAAAGTCCTGTAAAACTAAAAGTGGCCAAAACAATGCCAGTCTCAAGAGGAGGAGATGGAGGAGACGGAGGAGAAGAATAGAAGCCAGGAAATTAAACAGCAGCCAGCCCAACTTTAATTTCAAGAAATGTCAAGTTACACTGAGAATATATTGTAGCATCCAGCATCAAATGTGCAGACACCAATACCAAAGCAGAACAAACTTGCTTAGCTTTTCTCTGCATCAGAGTAGGAGGTCTTGCTGACAGAGTGGAATCGTGATATACCTAAGACATATTACAGCCTACATAACATCCTTGTAAGCAAACTGGGCAAAATACAGATTTGATAAAATAATTTCAAGGTGCACCTGGAACTGATGCAAACTACAAGATATTCTTCTCCTTCCTTGCCAAACAGGAAAAAAACCCGCAGTGATTAAAAAAAAAGATTTCGTCAAAGGGACCAAACTTACCTGAACAGTAACCAAAGCAACTGTAGCAGGTGCAGCGGTACAGATTAACCAGCATTCTGTGCAGACACCTTACGGTGGGTCTTATCTATTCAGTTTTCTCTAGTCTTAGTCTAACTCCCTCATACTGTCACAGGAAAAGAACTGAGTTTTCTAATGCTACACATGATTGGCATACACAACTAGCAATTATTTATAAAAGCTGCTTTGCTATGAAGGCCTGAAAATATCAGGATACAGAAGTGTTAAAGCAGGATTATGACTGCTTCACCTCTTTACGGGTTGCTAATAACAGTAGAATGAGCTATAGTGCATGCTTTGGGAAATACCTTTATGTGATATCTATCTTTGAATTAAATTTCTTCTGGAATGCATTTTTACAACACAAAGACATGTATTAGCAAATAAAAGGTATCAAGTAAGTATGAGCGTGATATTGGTTGATTAATTGTTGGGTATTTTACTTTAGCATTTCATTGTTCACTCCCAAGAAGAAATTCTTTAATGAAGAGGAAGAAAAAAATAAATAAGTCTATCTGTGTAAGGAACAAGCCTCTCCTTCAATCTCTTCTTCCAAAAAATGTCTTCTGTAAAAAGAGAACATTTTAATTTCAATAG